TCCAGAGACCGGTTAGCATGGTGGTGAAGAAGATGGGCTCTGGGACAGGCAGCCTGGACCAAAGTACTTGCTCTATCGCTTGTTAGCTGTGTGGCAGGGCAAGTTACTTAACCTCTCTGTGCCTCAGTTCCCTCATCTGTAAAATGGAGATAATAAGTAACCCCTTCATCAAAGAGCATGAGCATTTAATGTAATGGATGTATTAAAAGATAAGCCGAGGCACGTGAACATTTTCAAGTGTTTGAGCATCGATCGATTCCAATCAGGCACCGCCCCACTGGAAGTGGTTAGGCGAGCTCTGCCGACAGGAGCTGGGGGAAAGGCTTTACCGAGAAGACGTGGCAGCAAAGCAAGAGAGTTATCTGCCTGGCTGTGGCCCCAGCAGTGGCCTTGTCTGGGAAAGCCTAGTTGGCTGTTCCTGGTTGGTTGTGTTTAAGCTTCGTTTTTTCAGATACGAGCGCATTTACAATCAACTCTGGCTTAGGTTTCCGTTGGCTCGCTTAGGCCACCGAGGCATCCGAGCCCCCGCAGTCTAGTGGCCTCCTTGTCTAGTCACTGACAAACGTGCAGGCCCGCACGTAGGTGACAGAGCACGCACTTAGTTGGGGCTCTCCCACCGCCCAGGTTTCAGCTCATTTACCTCACCCAACAACCCTAAAGAGATGTATTCATCTTCCCCATGTCACAGAGGAGAGGACCGGCTGGAAGAACATTCAGTAAGCTTCCCAGGCTCCCCCAGCCAGCATGTGGCAGAGCAAGGATTCAAACCTAAGACGTCTCCCTCCAGAATCTGGGCTTAGTCACCATGTTGCTCTTATAATTAGTGTGACCTAATTCGTGTCACCTGTTATCACTGTGTGGTTGAGAACCCAGAAGGAGGACAGGCTTGAAATTCTAACATGCTCCATTCCTTCTTCTGCCCCCTTGTCCCCAATCCCCATCCCCATCTCTGTCTTCACCTGACGTTCACAGTGCAGTTTTTATAAGCGTCGTGTTTGATTTCATCAAGATCTCCACTCCAATCAAACTTAGGTTCAGTGTGATAATTAGACTTAGAGTCAAGTTCCTCTTTTATTTTGGTTTTATCTTAATTACTCTTTTATCCACTGGTCCACAGGCACTCAGAGATGCCCTATTACACATTCAGGACCCTGAGACAAACAGAGTTTGCCGTCATACACATCCACGGCCAGAAAACTTTTCACTCTGAAATAGCTGAGCCAAGACGGCATAGAAAAAATGTAATTCCTCCCAAAGACTCTCGTCTAAAAACAATAGCAGAATAATATGTTTTACATGAAAACCTCTCCACCGAGAAGAACGTACGTGTGCAGACACAAACATGGGAAGCGCTTCGGAAACCAGTGATGAGATGGGAAAGTGTCCAACAGCGGGGAGCATGGTGTATAGGACCATCTGGGTCTCCTAGACACCAAGGAGGAAGAGGCAAATCACAGCATTTTAGAGCTTAAAAGAATCTTAAAGGCCATCTAATCCAATTCTTTGCAAACTCTTTTTAAGTGCAGATTCTTTTGTTCAAATGAAATCTTACCCTGAAGATTTGTATAAAAGCTGAGATGCTTTTACTGAATCAAGGAGGAGAGGCCTAGGACTTGCTCCCATCCTCTCACTCCCAACAGCACTTACGAGGGATCTGGGGAGCCCCTGGGGTTTCTCAGAGCACAGTTTGAAAATCACTATTCTAATCCAACCTCATCCTTTACCACTGGGGAAAGTGAAGAGCAGAGAAGCTGCCTGACTTGCCTGAGGTTACACAGCAAGTCAGTGGCCTATGCAGTCCCCTTGTCTCCAAAAATTTTTCCATAATGATACCCTGAGTTCTCTAATGAACAGCCTTTTGTTTCTCCAGACTGTGTGTTTGTATTTGTGTGTTTGTACCTGTGCCCATGTTCCCAAGAAAACCTAACAAACCAGTCCCTGCTTTCACTCTAAAGCTTGGAGTCTACAGTTTGGCCTCAATGTCTTGGCTGCTCAAGAGAGCTGGAAGCACAGTGCAGAAAGGCCCAGGGCTAAAGGCTGTCCACCAGACTCCAGGACACTGGACTGCATGGCCTAAATTAGGTGGAGTTTCTGCTCTCACAGGGAAGTCCTACCAAGCGGGTGGTTCTCAGTGAGACACCTGAGAGCTGGCATCCAGGTCCGGCCCCTGCCTAGCAGCTGTGCCTGGGTCACTAAACCTCGTTGCTTCTCCATCCGTAAGGGGGAGGGGAAAGGGAGAAAGCCACCACACGGCTCACTACATCCAAAGATGGTGAAAGTTGCATAAGTTAATATGTCCAGTGCCTGTTGGTGCTTTGAGTGAAAAAGTAATAGACAGGCCCAACAATGGATCTACAAGTGGGCTGTTCCCTTCACCCAGTCGGAGGGCACAAGCCTGGAGGGAACGGTGGAGAAGGGGGTTTCTGAGTAACGTGCTGTCAGGGAAACGCTATGATCTATGATCGCCGTAGCTAACACAGGGCTTATTGGGAGCTTCCGTTGCGCTACCTTGCGGGCCCCTCACAGTAGCCCACTGGAGAAGCACTGTTGCATTGGTGATAAGGCTCAGATGGGCTAATTAAGTTATTCAAGGTGGCACAGCTAGAAAATGATGGACCTGGAATTTGAATCCAAAGCCATCTAGCTGCAAAACCTGCGTTCCTCACCCTGCCCCATCCTGCCCTTCCTCCCCGCCTGCCACACGGGGAAAAGGGAGAATGACGTGATACACAAAAGTGCAGCCCAGGAGGGAGGCTGCAGAGACAGGCACCTGGGCTGGGTTTGGGAGCTTCCCCTCCAGCTTGCGCGAAGGAGCGTTCCCCGCAGACGGGGTCCCGCAAAGCTCCTGGAGGCAAGAATTCTCAGCTTGTTTACCCAGTCTCGGGCTGGGGGGGGCGAGCTGGGCACAAAAGCAGGATAAAGGTAAACTTGCTGCACGTGAGAACCGTTCCCCCCTCCGAGGAGCCGTGTCACACTGTATGTCACCGTCATCAAAGGGGCTGTGCGTAAACCTGAAAAACCAAACGGACCTGTCTGCAGGTGTTACTTATGTCACAGGCTGCAGGTGCCCTTACTCCACTGCTCACCGGGGCCAGGAGCGCCTGCCCTCTCTGCACCTAGTCTGCGCTGTCCTCACGTAAGCACCTTTTCTTTGCTCTTTTGGATGAACTGTAAGGGGTGTCAGGGCTCAGAGGCTCGGGCTCGGGCTTGGGCTGGGGCCTGGGTCTGTCCGTCCGTCAGTCTCCAGCTCAGATCGCCGGCCCTGCTGCCCATCACAGTGCCTCCCTCCCGGGAGCTGTCTGACCAGGGCTGAACCGCCTGCCCGAGAAGGACGTTCTTGCCCCTGAGGGCTATGCAGCCGCCCCCTGGTCCTCGGGGCCCTTGCTCCTCTATCACTTGATCAAACCTAGAGGAACTGAGAGAGAATGCATGCAGGCACTCATTCTCCACCCTCCCCGCAGGTTCCCACAGCCCTGTCTTTAGGAAGGGAAGCTGGGTTGTACGCCTAAAATATGCAGCTTCGAGGAAAGCCCACCTCGCCCTGGCTCAACTCTTCCTTTCCTCATCGGCCTGCTCCTGGATCTCTTTATACAGAAAAGAGAGCTGCCTTATTACACTTTGGGCGTTTTTCAGGAATTCCTCTGTACAAAATGGTTTAAAAGAAACCCATTTTGCCCTCTCACACCCCCTCAAAATAGAATGCTTCCAGAAAAGCAATGGTTAGGGTTTTTCCACTGTATTTTTAGACCTGTTCAGACTCTGCCGCGTGTGGGGTTCTGTGCACTGGCCCGCTGCTGGCAGCTGCCGGTAGCACATGCTCCCCTCCAAGCTGGACCTGGGGACCCGCGTTTGGATGTGCTAAGGATTTCACAAATTGGAAAGGATGTCAGAGATCGTTAGGTACAACCTCTTCATTTCACAGTTGAGGAAACTGAGGCCTGGAAAGGTTAAGTGATTTGGGAAGACAGCTTCATGTTTGAGTCTAGTTTAAAGACCCATGGAGAGGGGTTCTTTGCCTCTCCAAGTGAAAGCTTAGTTCTTTCGTCCTCCTGTTCTCCGTGAGAATGCTTTTTCTGATCAATGTGTTCTCGGGGTGAGTGGGCAGTCTGGTCGTCTTCTTTCAGATACATTGATGATGACGATGTTTTCCCACGGGGATGAACACATGTACTGTGCCCAGTCCTCTGCGTGTACTATCTAATCTCATTAAATCCTCAGGACATCGAAGGGTTGCGTGTTACAATCCCCATTTGAGAGATGAGCTCAGAGAGGGTCATGCGATTTCTATATACCACTCCTTGTATGAAACAAAAAGAAAGAGTGTCAGCAGGCTGACAGTAAGAAATGTGTCCCATGTCCCTTGACTTGTGGGTGGCAGAGGCAGGATTTAATCCCCAATGGATTTAATCCAAAACTGACGAGCTTTACAGTGGAGCCCACGGTAAACTATATGGCATATCTTCTACGGGTCTTTGCTGCACCTTCAGAAAAATAAGTAAAAATAAACGACTAGCAAACTCCCTGCGCAAGCTACAGAAAAACGCGGACTTCATTGGCAAGACCTCAGCAAGTCAGTTCTCACAGCTGCTCTCGTTTCTCCCAGAAGAACAAACACTCAAGGACCCAACCCACAATCCTTCAACAGCAAGTGTCGAAACAGTCCACTGGGTTTTCCTCCATGTCCCTCGGTAGGGAGGTCCACAGGGTAGGAAACGACCCCGCCTTGCCCGCAGGGCTCGGGACCCAGTGGACCTTTGGGTGTCGCTGAGGCTCCGGAGGAGGAAAACCATCTTCCTTCCCAACAACACTGCCCACTCGTGGAGTCAGGGAAGGCCTTTCTCGGCCTCCTTTTCTGAGGGTTACACCCTCACGGCTGTGTTCTGCCCTTGATGTTTTGGTGCATGAACAGCCAACGTGTAGATGCTTAATAGGGTGGATTTTTGGTCACATGCCCAGAGTGAGTTGATGATCTCCGAGAGGATCAGGAAGGAATTTTCCTCCTCTGGCAAACTGGCCCAGGCTGGGTGGTTGGCTCCTTCCCCTCTCTCTGGAAGGCTGAGCAGAGGTGCCTAGTTACTCAGGCCATGGGCACCACACCTGTGACTGCGGCCTCTGACTCAGGTCGGGGCGAGAAGCCCACGGGCCTGGCCCTCTGACTGTGTGGACCCTCCTGTGCACACTCGGTGAGTGAGCTGGCTCTCAGAAGGCTTAGGAAGCCACTGGAGGCGTCGGGGACCCCAGTTTCCATGCCATCGCTGACTCATTCTCAAAGGTACCTGTGGCCAGCCTTTCTGTGCATGGAAGGGAACCCACCTGATTCCTCCCCAAGAGTCAGTCATGCTTGATCCTTTCCTACTTACTGGGCAGCTACAGTTGTGACTGCATTTGGGGGAAACTGATTCCAGCAGCCACGGGTCTGCTGATGGGCAGTGAGTGAGGTCCACAGTGTATAAGGGGCCTGGCTAGCCCAGGCAAAGACTATCCAGAGCCTGCTGCCGGAAGTTGTGGGCAGAAGAGGGAAGGGAGAAGAGGAAATCGGCGGGCCTTTTCAGAGCTGAAGTTTAATCTGTTTGTCGTGTTGGATTTTACTCCAATTTGGTAGGCTTGCTTGACCACAATAGCCAAGTATAACCCACACATATGCATATGTGTGTGTGTGCATGTTTCCATGCGTCGGCCCAGTTGGGTGAGTGCCTACAGAAAATCGTGGGGCTGGGCACATCTGGAGGCCACCTCGTCAGTGCGTTCATTTAGTAGAGGAAGAATTGAGGCTCAGAGAGGTGCAAGAGGCCGAATCATGATTCTCAGCCCAGGGCTCTTTCCATGATGACAAACGGGTCAGCCCCTCAGAAGACGAAAATGTGTGGCTAGAGCAGCAGGCCTGGGACCCTTCCTAGATATCCCCTTCTTGTCCTGCTGCTGACTTTAGTCTGACCCAGTGCTTCTCAACCTTTTTTTCGTTATGACTGCCACTAAGGAGCCTTTGTTGATAATTTTTCTTAATCAACCTCCCCTTCTGTGAAATATTAATACCATAAATATACTGCATATCGTTTACGTATTGTGGCCCTTGGGAGGGTCATGAAACATAATATGTAAGATTTTTTTGACCCCCCAAGAACCAATTTTTTCCCTCTGGGGTCCCCCCCATTGGGAATGCATGGTCTAATTTCAGGCCTGGGCTGACATATGGCTGGGCCTCAATGTCCTCACGGAGAAATGTCGCCCCAAACAGCTGCTCTCTCCTACCCACCCTGCTCCACCCACGTGGATGAAATCTTGAGAGCTAGAGTGTTCAGTTATCGAATGGACCTTAGAGTGCCTAGGAAGCTGGGCTACTGAATACAAAGCAGCCATTATTCCGGAACTCTCACACCTAGAGCTTTTTGACTAAGTGGCTGAGGTCTTTTGTGGAGAGCCCAGAGTTAATAATAGCCCTTCCTACTGCAATAGCAAAAAAAATCAAAAAATTTATGTTGCTTTTATAAAAGAGATTTTTCTTAGAAGCAAGAAATAATTATAGAAGAAAAATAGCATATTGAATACCTGAGAGAGCCCTTTAAGAAAACTTAATGGCTACAATTTGCCATAGAAGGAATTACCAAAGGCAGTCAGCTGTGCACGAGCTGTGCCCAGCACCAGGCAGATTACAGAGCAAGCGAGTGCGCTGGTATGGAGAAAAAAATCCTTAAAGGTGGTAAAGACCCTATATGATCAAAAATAGTCCTAATGTTTATATGATCAAATTCAATTTACCAATAAAGAAACGCTCACTCCTGCTGTCACATTTTGAGTCTGGAGGATCTCTAATTGACATTGAAGACCTGAGACTGTTTTCTATTTCTTCCACGTGGAATCCACCTCTCCTTCCTCCAGATCCACCTGTGGCGGTCGTGTCAGAGCTCTGCCCTCCTCTTCCTCAGTTTTCTGAGCCTCTGGCGCAGACGGCAGGGGTCACTTTTACCTTTAGCTCTCACTTGGGGGAACTTTTCTGAGGTCAAGTCCAGAAAGCAGAAGGTGCCTTGGGTTTCAGGGGTCCGTCCCTCCTTCACAAGCTCCCACCCCCATCCCTCTTCCTCCCACCGCCCGCTCAGGATATAAAACCAGCCAATCTGTGGGAAAATCAGAGCCCCAACCCAGGCAACCTTGACCTCTGTTTGATATGGCTCCCAGGGGAGATGCATGCCCGTGATAATCTGCTGGGCTCATTAACCCTCTCTGGGCATCAGGAAGGAGGCCTCCTAGTGGGGTCTGGTGACTGCAGTGACGGCCCAGAAAGGGTGCCTCTGTGTAAGGGTTTGAACGCAGTCGTTTATCTACGTTGGGAGCGCCGTTCTCCCTCACGTACAACAGTGGTGATGGTGGTAGATTTGCAAACACCCCCAAAAATTGGTCTCTGGTTCTGGAACCACATAACCCCTCTCCCCTTCAGTATCGAGGTCCTGTTCGACACATGTGTCTGTGTCTGTGGCAGATGCCACTGTGAGTGCTTTCAGAAAGGGAAGCAGGCGGCTCCGGGTCGGAAAACAACTCTACGCCATAATGCTGCCCTCCATTGGCTGTGTGACCTCGAGAAGTTATACAAATTCCCTGGGCCTTAACTTTCTCAACTGTAAAATGACAGGGTGAGGGGAAAGACTGGACCAACTCAGTACTTTCCAACATGTGGTACTCACACCACTGGTGACACAGGAGGTAAATCTGGTCGGGGTGGGTGAACTTTTTCTTAAAGGGCCAGACGTTAACTATTTTAGGATTTGCCGGCCTAATGGCAAAATCAAAGATATTATGTAGGTACTTACACAGTAGTCCCCCCTTATCCACGGGGAACATGTTCCAAGACCCCCAGTGGATGCCTGAAACCACGGATAGTACCAAATCCTATATATACTGTGTTTTTTCTTATACAAACGTACAGGACAGCGTGGATGTGGATATGCTGGACAAAGGGATGATTCACATCCTGGGCGGGATGGAGTGGGACGACGTGAGATTTCATCACACTACTCAGAACAGCATGCCATTTAAAACTTATGAATTGTTAACTTCTGGAATTTTCCATTTAATATTTAAGGACTGCAGTTAACCGCAGGTGATTGAAACCGCGGAAAGTGAAACCACAGATAAGGGGGACTGCTGTAGTAGTCCATGTAACCATTTAAAAATGTAAAATCATTTTAGCTGCGGGCCATTCAGAAGTGGACGGTGGGCCTGCAGGTTGTAGTTTGCTAACCACCGATTCGGATGGTGCCTGGATGAGCAATTTTTATTTAAATGTTTATGTCTTCATTTTAATGTATATTAAAAGAACACTGTCCATTTATAGTGGTGATATAAAGTTTTCCTTTTAAATAAGTGTAGTTATGCTAAAACAAAAACAGAGTTGATTTTTTAAAACATATTAAGGAAACTATCATGGTGGGCAAAAGTTTGGGAAACACTGGACTGAAAGATTGATAAGCTCCGGACCGTCTTAACATTCCATGCACTAAATACCCCAGACCCAGCCTGGAGTCTCTGCTCAGACACTTACCAGCCGTGTGATCTGGAGCTGCTGTGTCCCCTTTGCACAATGGGGTGGAACCAACGTGTCTCATCAACATTATTGTGATAATTAGAAAAGAGAAGTTAGGTGAACAGATTTTTCTCATCAGCCCCACGTGGATGCTTTTTTCTGAATTTTGGCACTATGGGAAGCAGCAAGGAGAAACTTGCGAGATGAGACTGGCATGGGCAAGAATGCTTGCAGGCCGGGGCCCCAGACCCATCCTCTTCTGCCCCCACCAGCCTCGACCAGACACCCTCTCCCAAGCTTCCCACTCGCCAGTGTGCACAGGAGTGGAGCAGAGATTAGGATCGTGGGCTTTTTAAAGAGACAAACCTGAGTTGCCACTCAAACTTCAGCACCCGCCAGCTGGTGGCTTGGGGAATGTCACCTGAGTGTCCATCCCTCATCTATAAAACAGAGCCACTACCAGAACCTGTCTCAGAGTGGTTGTTCTAAGGAGACCTTGAACAACGAACAGAGAGGACTCGAGTGCTTAGCAGGGAGCCCAGAGTGAGGTAAACATTTGCCGGTTACCACAGGCACTGGCTCTCTTATCCAAACCCTGGGGCTAAATGTGCGGCAGAGTTCCAAAGTCTCCAGGGATGAGGAAGACAATACAGCGATACAGTTTGCAACGAACACGCACACACATACACATTCAGTTTCAGAGCTTTCAGATTTCAGAATTGTGGACAAGGCTTTGTGGGTATATTCATTTATAGCAATTCTTGCCCTGTTTTCAGAAGCATATTGTTAGACGTAAGCCGGAGTTCGGGGGTTCCGATGTGAGCGAATAGGAAAAGTACAGAGGCAGTATTGCATAATAAGAGCCTCCGTTCTCAAATCCCAGCTTGCCACTTACTGGCCATGTTACTTGGGCAATTGTCTCAAGCCCTATTCCTCAGTTTTCTCATCTATACAATGGGGATAGACATAGAAACCATGGATGTGGCAAGGATTAAATAACGTCATCGTGGGAAGCACTTGGAGGGCTGCCTGGCTCATAGGGAGTAAGTGTTTCCATCATTATTAAGAACCAAGTCTTGCCGTACTGGGGGCTCCTGCACAGTGGGGCTCCCGGGAGCCATTGCCCGCTTCCTCACAGCCTCTCCTACCGTTGCAGGATGATGTTGGACTCAGTGACACACAGCACCTTCCTGCCCAACGCATCCTTCTGCGACCCCTTGATGTCGTGGACTGATCTGTTCAGCAATGAAGAGTACTATCCTGCCTTTGAGCATCAGACAGGTGTGTACGTCCAGAGGAGCCCATCTGAGCTGGGACGGGCTGGGGCAGGAGGTGGTGCTGGCCTCGGGCAGAAGACAAGGCCGTGCTGGGGGCCTGAAAATGCCAGCTGTCACCAGTGGTCAGGGCAGAGGACTGGGGGAGGCCCAGGCAGTAGGGAGAGCAGCTTCCGCAGAGAGGAAAGCACTGGAATCCTCGCCCCAACCTCTTCCGAGCTCTGTGGCCTTGGGGGACTCCACTAACCTCTCTAAGCCTCATTTTGCTAACAGCTAAAATGGAGATGCTAATACCAATCTCTTGGGAAAGAAATCCTTAGTTCAGAGCCTTGTAGCTGTGATGGCTTGATCATCATGGTTTTAGCTAACACTTGCTGAATACTAGCTATGAGCCGACCCCAAGGCGAGGATGCATCTCATCTTTATAGAAGCCCTATGAGAAATGGACAGTTATTATTCCCATTTTATAAATGAAGAAACTGAGGCACAGAGAGGTTAAGTGACTTGCCCAAGATCTCACTGTTAGTTAAGTTTCACGCAAGTTGACTTGAGCACCTGTACCCTTAACTATCCTACATGGTCATCTTATAAATGATGTAACGCTGTTATTGATATTAATATTATTGTTATTCTCTGAGATTCTCTCTCCTTATCCCTTAAGCAGGGATGATGAGAGTTACTGTAAGGGTTAAGGGACGCAAAATATGTGAAATATATAGCCTGGCACAGAGCAAGTGCTCAGTAAACATGAGTCCCCTCACTGTCCCCCAGGCCACCCTCCTCACCCTTCCTCCTTTCTCGGCCCAGTTTTCCCCACCTGAGAAGGAGGCATAGGGCCTGGTGCTAATCCCATGCCAAAGGGAGGCCAGCCGAGCTTTGCCCAGCAACCCTCTGAGGGCCTGTGTCCCCAACTGCTCAGCGACTGCCCATCATGCAAGCCTGGCGAGTGCTCTGCTCACAAGGCAGGCGTGCACCCCATGGGGATGATGCAAGCGCTAATCAAGCTGTCTGTCCTCACTGAGCCTTAACCCTGTGCACCCCAGCCTGGCAGGACACAGGATGCAGGCAGCGTCCAGGAGCCAAGCCTCCGAGGATGCTGCAAAATGCCCACCACCACAAGGACACCCCTGCCTCCAGGCCAGAGGCCAGGGCTGCACAGGCAGACTTGAGGACTTATGGACATCACTCAGTCCTGGACCCACCCGCCCCACTTCTCCGCACACACATGCGCACATGACATCCCTCACCCTCGTCTGCAGGGTTCAGAGAATTATGTCTGGACTTAAGTTATCCAGATGTGTCTCACAATTCTCCTTTAAGTCTAAGAAGCACCTCATTTTCCAGAAAGACAATGAGAAATGTACTCGATCTCCTCCCCCTTGAAGTTTGGTTAGCAAGCTCAATTTGAAGGAGGAAAATGAAGACTTTCACGCCCCATCCCCTCCCCATGTGTCCCACGATGCTGGGCTCAGCCCCTGGTCCTTCTCTCTACCCACGCCATCCTGGGAGCCCCTCTACCTGTCTATTCTGCCAGGGAGTGGTGGGTGGGGATGGCCCCTCGCCTGCCCCATGCCATGTCCCAGGCATTGGGGTAGCAGCTTCTGTAGCGGTCAGGAGCACGCACCCTGGAGCCAGGCGTCCTAAATGCAAAGTCTGGCTTTGACATTTAATAACTGTGCCACTTAAGCTCTCATGCCTCAGTTTTCTCATCTGTACAATGGAGACGATAATAATGCCTGACTCGTAGAGCTGTTGTGAGTGTGAAGTGAGCCAAGACGTGTGAAGTGTTTGGGACACGGTCAGACACATGCCAAGCACACGTATAAGTGTTTAACAAAGAAGGATGAGTTTCAGCTTAGGATGATGAAAAAGTTCTGGAGATGGATAGTGGTGATGGTTGCACAACAGTGTGAATGTACTTAATGCCACTGGACTGCACACTTAAAATGGTTAAAATGGTAAATTTTATGTTATGTATATTTTATCACAATAAAAAAAAATGGAGTTAACAGAAGTGATCACCAATAGGATTGCCAACACTGCTTAAATCCGACAGTCTTAGATATACAGACACAGCTTTCTCCTGCCTGAGGCCTCTGCATTTCCACCAATGTAATGAGGGGTTGACCCAGGTCATTGCTAGGATCCTTTCCAGAAGCTTCTCTGATTCCTGCATCAGGCAACATCCCAGATGTAGCCTTCTTCCCCCATCACTCACTGAAAGAATAGAAATTGCCCCAAGGCATGAGGCCAATGAAATAAACACCTCCAGGAGTGGTCCAGCTTCCTAACATTCCCTGAGGAGGGGCCAGCTTTTGACTTGCCATCAGGCCCCCTGGATTTCAGAAGAAGCTGAGTGGCTCTGACCTCCTAAAAGTCAAACTTAGGCGTGAAAGGTTAGTCTCAAGGGAGCGCCCAGGCACTGGGTGAGCCTCAGGCCCTGGCTGTCCTCAGAGCCCCACCTGAGGGAGGACTGCCCGTAGGGCTTTCTGTCTTTTTCTTTCCTGGCGAGGTGACACATGGTCTGTGTCTGCAGAGCCCTCTCTGAGAGGGATGCGTCAGGGGACAGCCAGGTTCACCTCTAGACGCTGCTCTGCAAACTGTCGGTGCTCGGGGTAGCAGGCTCTGAGACCCCTCTCGCGCCTCACGGGAAGCCCTTTTTGAACTCAGGGTTGACCTGATGGCAGCTTCCTGTTCCGGTCTGGGTTTAAGGGCTGGTGCTGCCACTTACCAGACCCGTGACCTTAGGCAGGTTTTTCTGGCTTCTCTGAGATTCAGCTTCTCTGCGATCTGGCTTCTCTGGCTTCAGCTTTCCTCAGCTGAAACAGTATCTGCCCCCAAAGGTGGAGGGTTGACGGAGCTTCTGCATGGAAGGTGTTTAGAGAACACCTGGCACGTGCTAGGTGCTCACTGTGGCCAGGAACACCCCGCGACTCCCATTTGTGGAAAACAGCTTTCTCCTCTCTTCATTTTTCATATTAAATGAAAGTAATGCAGGTGTTCCTCTCAACTTTCCAATTCAGAATATTTGACAACTTAGATACTTGGAGACCAAAGGGAGGGAAAGGGAGAAAGAAATGATGTGCCCACTAGACAAAAGATGTCTAGGAGGAATACCAACCTAATTAGGAAGACAGCTGTTCTCACAACCTTTTTACGTGGCTCTAGCAGAGGGCAGCTGGATCTGTGCCTCCACGCACTGCCCGCAAAGGATCAGCCTGCTCTTCGAAGCAGGACTTCTGCGTGGCCGCACTGCAGGCTGGGAAGTGGACAGTTACAGATTGCAAAATACTCTAGAATTTCATTAGCTCATCCTGGCCTTCCCTTTGGCTCTTTTAAAATGAAGAGTTACAAATACTGGAAAAATTTATCAAAGAGTGGAAGGGGGTGCTGCATATATTTCACAAGCATGATATTTTTAACAGATTATCTTTCCAATCAAGTGCCAGTAGCCCAGCATCCGACAAGTCAGGGAGTACCCTGGCTTTGTCCCTACGTTCTGGAGCTCCAGCCTGCACCTGCACACCCTCCCCTGCCTGCCCAGGCGGCCACGCCAGCACACAGGGCCTCTGTGCTTTGGACTCTTGTTTATGCTTTGTCTGCGGCAGAAGTTTCCAGGTTGGGGCAGCTCTAGGGGACCCAGGGACCTGGGGTGACAGTTGAGAAGGCCAGGCTCCAGCTCCCCTCGCCCCCCCACCCCCAAGTGAGGCCCCTGCTCTGTACTTCTGAAGACAGGACAGCGTGGTGGTTATTGCTGTGGGGCCACGGGAACAGTGCAGCCATATGGCCAACTCCCTGCCCTGCCACTTCCTTGCTATGTGGCCTCAGAAAGGGATTTCACCCTGTGCCTTGCTTTCTCTGTTTACTTTGCAAAATGGGCGACATGAGCTAGGACCTCATGGCATTTCCGTGTGGAGGACAACATGAGAAAACATGAAGGGTGTAGCATGGTAATATGTCAGCTGTTATTACACAACAGGAGATTTTATTTGAAGAAAGAGCTTATTTTTAAAAAAGGTGCAAAACCCCTGATCTTGGGTATTAACATCCAGAAGATCAGGGAGCGAGGAATTGGATCCCACGTGGGCTTTTCTGAGCTAGATTCATGTGCTGGGTATAGAAGTTTGAGAGGAGATACAAAAGAGAGAGTCTAAGAATTTCTAAATCAAAACCAGGTAAATAAATACAAAATCATCAGAAAGTCTGAGGGGAGCACTGGAGCAGCAGTCACGTCCCAGGACGTGACTCACCTCCGGAGTCCTCACCATTAGCCACCTCCAGCCTGTCCTGCACACAACGGAGCCTTCTGGGCGGTGGCAGCCCCAGCACCACGCAGGGCCTGGTGCTCTCTGCCTTCCTCTCTGCACAGGCCCAGGGCCACGGCTCTGCCGATACCCAGCCAGCCTTCTCACCTTTTCTCCATCCAGTTTCTGACACTGCTCCAGGCTTCTTTTTTTCCATCTCGTGGTCTAAATCATTCCACAGGCTTGGAAGGAAAGCCATCAAGGGCTATTGGCTGCAGCTGGACCAGCACGGGGAGGAAACCTGGAAGCCATTTATCATTTCAGGTTTCTCCTCGTCAAGTCCTTCCTTTCAGTGACAAAGCCACAATTGATGGTGGCCGTGCTACCCAGTCCACTGGCCGGCTCTCTTCAGCACTGCCCAAAGCAAAAAATTTCCCAACTCCCTACGCTAATAAATCATGCTAACTGTGGTCTGGGCTGCCTGACGTGGGCCTCCTCTGACCCAGACTGTCTGCCTTCGCCTCAGCGAGTCCCGGGCTTGCTTTGTTCTGGTTGTCCCTCAGCGAGACTGAGGCCCTGGTGGGGAAGGCCTCATTTCCTTGAGAACAAATGCAATCCCAAAATAATAACCAATTTCAGGTGACATATCGAAAGCTTACTGTCGTCCAGATAACTGGGCTAAGTTCTTTACATGCATCCTGTCTTTCCCTTTTCACAGCAAACTTCCTAAGAGGTGGGCACTCTTACTATTCCCGTTTTAGAG